TTGTCTCAGATAGAGCTGTTCTAAACTTTTGGGACTCTGGATTTTTTTCCCCTTCATTGCTTTTCGCTGTAATTGCTGCCATTTTGAATTTAGTCAGCAGGCATAGAGTGGGCAGGAGGTGCTCTCTCTGATCTGCCTCACACACAGTATGGGAGATTGGATAAGGGCCTCAGAATGAGATCTAGGGAGACAGCGCTGCTCTCCTCCAGGACTGCAAGCTTCAATGACTTCCATTAAATCCTGGTGTGACCAAAATCCTGATTTGTCAGGGAGAAAGTGAGCGATTAGCTCTCCTATTTTGCTTCTGTCTACACAGGATTGTTACAGTGCACCTCCCTTAACAATGGAAGTTGAGGTTGCAGGCATTTTTTAACAATTAAAGAAGCACCATAGTGTAAAACAGCCAGCAGGGAAGCTGCCATGTTTCTAAATCACAGCCTGTTTTCATTAACAAGGATTGCGAGCCTGCATTTCATAGGCTTGATGTTTGCTGACAAATCTGGAAGTACTCCTGACTTTTTACAACGATGTACAGCTTTGGCTGCTAAATGTGTCACTGAGCTGCAGCCTTGTCTAAAATCATCAATAACCATTTTTTTTCCACACTCTATACTAAAGAGCTACCAGGTGGCAGTGCTCTTTGGCGCGTAAACCTCAGGAAGATGATTCAAAGTTGGATGTATTTACTTCCAGTGAGGCGTAAATCACTTATATCAGAGGAAACCAAGTAGAAGAAGAAAGACTTTGTAAAAGGAAAATGTCTTTTCTACATATTGAGGCATTTCTAGAGTTTATTTAGACCCCAATAGAAGGATGTTTGAACGTACTCGAGTATAGCTGTTACGGTCATTATTTTGAACTGAAAAGGAAATGTTCCCAACTCTATAAGTTAAAACAATTCAGAGTAACTTTTAACCCAAATATAGGGTATCGGTAAACCTATTAAGACCCAGATTGTCCTCAAAATGAACAGGAAATTCCAGAAACGGTAACATTCTTGGCATCCTCTTCAGTGAAGTTAATATTTTAGGTGAAAGTTTTTTTTTTTTTTTCTAGGTTTGTGGTGTTCTTGCTGCTCTTCCCAAAATCAGATTGCTGGATTCACTTGCAGGCCACAAAACTAGATCTTTTGTAGCTAAAAATGCCAAATTTAATTTATAAGATCTGTTTTACCAAGTCAACAAAACAAATTTTCCTAAAAGAAAAAGGTTGATTTTAATCACAAAGAGACTTGTAAAACCATTTTACATTTTTGATCGTTTTTTCAAGACTGGTTTCTTCGTTTCTTCAAGACTGGATTACTATAACAGCCTGTTTACCTGTCTGAGCAAGAAGGAGCTGGGTCGCCTACAACTTGTCCGGAACTCTGCTGCAGGACGCCTGACCCGCACAAATAGGACAGCCCATGTTAATCCTCTCCTGAAGTCCCTACATTGGCTTCCTGTTGTCTCCAGGATAAATTTTAAAATCCTGGTCCTTACCTTCAGGGCCCTTCATGGACAGGCGCCTGGCTACATGACAGGTCTGCTTATGGTTCCTCGGACCCGTTTTAAAACCCGAGGAGACCGGTCCTTTAAAGCGGTGGCATCCCGTCTCTGGAATGAACTCCCCCTGTCCCTGCGCTCTCTGGACTCGGTGGATAGCTTTAAAAAGCAGCTAAAAACCCACCTGTTTTCACAAGCCTTCCAAAGCACATAGCTTATTGTTTATTCACTTACTTATTTTAGCTTTTACTGCATTTTATCTCTTTTTACTTGTGTTGTTTATATGTTATCATGTGAAGCACTTTGTGACTTTGTCTGTGAAAAGTGCTATACAAATAAAGTTTACTTACTTACTTAGTTACTATTTTAGATCCTAAACACAAAAAAACACTCGGTAAACAGCCAAACCACTTTTGGGTAAATGTTTCCATTCTTCATGGTTTTCAAAAAAACTTGCACAGCATTTGAGTAAAATATGCTGAATATTCTCTGCCCTTTTGAATCATTGAAAAAATAAATACATAAACCAATAGCAACAGGTCAATAAAATACCAACATGGGGCTGTAGCCATTACACACAGACTGCAAATTAATACTGTCATAATAACTATGCTAATTAGTCATAAGAGATTCTGAAAAAAGTTTAAAATGTTGTATCACTTTGTATTTGCCATGGCACAAAGCTGTCTGCACAACACAGCTCCCAATTCTTTAACAATTGTAGAATCCAGCGAAGACTTAAATTAAGTGCCACATACGTGAAATGGAACTGGTATGAAAAAAAAAATTTATATCCTTGAATTAAAAACTGTGAAGATATGATAAGTGATACGAATGCCAGGTTAGTACAATTAACAGAATGCAGAGAAACTGGCGGAAAATCTAAGCAGGTAATGTAAATAAGGTGCCTAATTAACATCAATGTAGCTGAACAGAGAAACAAAGAACCTTTAAAACAAAAGAAGAAAAATTATTAAAAGAAAAAGGAACAAAAGAATAAACTAGCAGCTAAAAACAAAGCATGAACTAATATGGGGAACCAAGGAAAATAACTCCTAACCCAGAATATCTGAAAATCCTGACAAAAATGTTTTTTTTGTCAGGTTTTCTTTGTGTGCAATATATTTAAAGAGCATCAAGTTAAGTTGCAAGGTTAATTCCTAGCACTCAATAAAAATAAAGAGGAAACAGGTTAAACAGGCAGTGATAGAAGGATTGGTTACTGCATAGAACATAAAAATGGCTTCAGATGGAAACTTTTGAGTGTTTTTCAAATAAGTTCCCCACAGAATTCAGTTCCATTCAACATTTAGAATACAAACCCAGATAAATATATTGGCATTGATGTAAATAACACTGCAGATTGTTAAAAAAGGAGACCCACAGGGCTGACTGTTTGTCACACTGAAAACTCTGTAACATGTGAAGAAAAGTCACATATAATAAAGCCTGAACCAACAACTGCTGCTTCAGTGATGCTGGTTCTCGACCACAAAGACACGTTTCACCAAGTGGCATATAGAATGAACACATCGATTTCCTGAGGGGTGAAAACAGTAAACGTTAAAGGGACATTTGTCGTTTTTCTTCTGAAAGCTATTTTACTGGATTTATCGAGAGTGAATTAGGTCAATTTCATTTTCAACCATTTGCTTCTTTTTAACCCTCTGAGTTTTGCTTTAACAAACAAGAGAGGACAATTGGAGGACGTCTTCTTCACTTCAAGATGCGTTTCTTTTAGCGGGAGTTAGAAAACGGTTAGCATTTGTTTAGTTTTTCGTTGATAGCAACGACCTGTCCAAGTTCTTCCAAAATTACCAACACCAAGATTCGGTTAAAAATCATTTATAACAAGGTTAGAACTGAGGACTCCGGGATTTTATGACCAGCTCGGATCGGCTGGAAGAGGTTGCCAAATTTCTTTCAACTCGTCGCTCGGAAAGATGGAAAACCCTGAGAGGAGTCCTCAGTGGTTAGTGTGGGCAGTTTGATTTGCTGTCGGTGGTTAGATTCTGCTTTGAGCGTTTGAAGTTTATATTCTATTCGCTTTCTTTTTAGATAAGAAAAAAAACAACTTTAACCCTTTGAGATCAAAAATGTCCACTAATTCTATTTAACATTATCTGGACTTGAACGAAAAACAGCAAATTAGAAATACAAATGACTTTTTATCTCTAACTCATGAGCTTTATTTTATCGCCTTAATAAATCAATTTATACTAACAATTAAAACATAAAATCTTGCTTTATATTCACTTTAATAAACTCCTAACTTATGATCCAATGGGAGTGTTTACAACTATTTACTCCCATTAAGCTCGTCTATCGACAGAATTCAAAGTGGAGAAGAAAGTGAATAATAGATTCAATTTTAAGCTCTTTCTCCTCAGAGTTTCATGGCGCACAGCTCATTTCATAAAGTGGGTAAGTCATTTTTTATTGATTCATCTTTTCATTCAACTTTAATCTCCCAATCCTTTTTAATTCGAATTTCTGTTCTAACTATTTCTCAGCAATGGTGCGTTTGCCGTCGCACCGCAGGAGAGAAAAAAGAAATTAGTTTATGGGGAGCTGGATATGAATACGATTGTTTTGTTTCTATCAAATAAATATGCAAGCAGTTCATTTATCTTGTTTGTCTGTTGCAAAAAAAAAAAACTTCCCTGAGATGGATTGTATCTACTGTGTTTTCAAAGAAAGACCTTTATGCTGTGATCATCTCAAAGCATCTCTAATGCCAAAAATAAGCAATGCATATATATTTAGACACCCATGAAGGGTTTATCTTTTCTCTTTTTTAACCGGCCTCTCCTACTTTTGAAGAATCAACCACCTACAGCAGCACAAACGCACGGAGCGAAACGCAGACAGAAAAGGTCAGGACATTCGATACTCAAAGGGTTAAAGAGTCATCGGTTTAATGGGACCACATTGAGAACTCAGGGCGTTGTCAGGTAGGGCGAAAGGCCCCCGCATGGGGCACTGAATTCATCCAAAAACAGTCCCTTTAACTTTTAGTGACTTTCATTTGAAGGGAGAGGAGTGTGTAGGGTGGGGGGGTTGCACTGTTCTGTAAAAATCCAGTGCAAATCAAACTTTTTTTCTTGTTTTCATTCAGCCAACATTCAGCAGACAAAAGACACAGGAAGGAAGCGGTTTACATGTGGGCAGGTTATTGAGGGTTATGTTGGGTTATTAGGAGGTTAAAGCTCTGAAGAGATGCAGCCCCAATTTAGGGTGCCTTGGATAAGGCTCCCCTGAACATTGCCTTTTTTTAATTTAAATTCTCTTTGATGGCCAGCTTAATTTGGTAGAAATGCAATTAAGCTTTCCTAGCAATAGAACAAAAACGTTAGCTGGTCGCAGTCAGGCTCGCTGGTTAAAGGAAACCTTTAGTTCAGTTCAGGAGCCAATCAGATTCCCCCCTGCTGCATGGCACTGCACCTCCTCTGGAGCTGTGGTTAGCGGTAGGTTAGGCGGTTAGATCATTAGTGGAGTTAAAGGGATTTTTATTACCTTTTTCGAGTAGCCACTCATCAACTACCCGACCAAGTCGGTATGGGATTCTTTGTCTAGCAAGAGCCAGGCGCTCATTATCAGAGGTCCCTTTAAGAAATTTGGAGAAGACAAATTAAGAAAAAAAAAATAGGTTACAGGCAAATCTGGAAGTTAAAAAAGTTAGAAGTTAGAAGGGCAACATTGCAAAGGTTTAGCAGGTTATGAACTTTAAATCAGCTTTAGTTAGGAGAGGAAGAACTTGTTTGTTTTGGTTAGACAGGTTAACAACATTCTAGTTACCTTGAGTTTAAATTAAGTTTTTCCTTTTTTTTTTTTTTAAGTCCGCTGTCATGTTAAACAGATTTAAAGTAATTTAGATGTCAAATGGTTACATGTTTTTAGAACTTGGAGCTCTCAGCGAAGTGAAAGCACATTAGGAAATCCTAAGCAGTGGGAAAGGAAGTTAAACTGCAACTATGTGCAAAGAAATCAAACAGTTAAAACAAGTGCAATAGGACAGAGCGCAGCAGAACAGGAAATCTCAGCAATGTCAGCAATAAAAACAATGTTTTCAAAAGGAGTATCACACAGTGCAAAAACACATTTCATGGTTGTTCTCAAGGAAAGCGTATTAAAGTTCCCATTGCGAAGAAAGAGACGCTGATTAGCAGGAAAAAAAAAAAAAACATCCTGAATTTGACAGTGCAGCAGCGTTCAGCCCCTGGAGCATCAGTTTGTTTTAAATCACTCTTCCCTTTTTCACCTGAAGCAAAAGGCATTAAGTGAATCTGTCAGCGCTCTGTTTCTCTCTGCTTGCACCCCCCCCCTTCTCCTCTTGCATTAATGGAGCACTTCTCATTGGCACTTGGCAATTAGCAGCACTTCATCAGCGTGTCAAAGAAGTTTCATCGCCACTGTGCCAACTTATTATCCCTCACTTCACTTCAATCAACCTCTGGGTCATGTTGCGTGCATCTCCTGCACTGTCAACAGAGACGGCGCGGAAATTAGGAGAGATGAGGGGCTGATGGTGACCAGGCTGGGGGTTTGATGATGTCTCATGCAGTGGATTAATTAGGAGTTATCCTCTATGTCAGAATGCATTTCTTAGAAGATTATAGGCTAACACCCAGAGAGCTATGTTTAGACGATGCCTAAGAAAATGATAAAAAAGCAAAACCTGGATAAGCAAAAGATTTTTAGGAAATCTGAAGGGGGATCTGCATCTCAGCAGTAGCTCTGAAGAACTCATCCTGCATCCTATCTGGATTGTACTTTGATTTAATGGAGAGGTCCGGTCATATTCAAAATTCAAACTTCTGAAAGTCCTTTAAATATGAAATTATTACATACTGTTCAATACATGATAAGTGTTTTTAATTAAGAGTAATTTTC